TTAATCTATGAGATTTTTTTTTCCTTTTTATTAGCTATATTTGTGTGAGCCAGCAATACCGAGCGTGGGGTGCGCGTATACCCGATTCGATTTCATTAAACATCAGGATCTCTACCAGCCTACCCTCAAATTGAAATTCTTTTAGGCAGGATTAGAGTAAATTAATCTATGAGACCTTGGGCGTGGATAAATACATCAATCGAAAGGGTTTGACGCCTGAGCTCAAAACTGTAATTAAATCTCAAATTGGTGAAGAGATGACGGAGCTATGAGCCAAAAGTTTGTACTTGAAAAAAAAAAAAAAACTCAGAGCCGTTCAGCCACGGCTAATAACATATTATGACCCCAAAATTGTGACTTATACTGAATTATTCGAGGATATCCAATTATACTTAAACTGTTCAGCTCTAACAATACAGATCAGCGTTTTGTTATATACATACCTTGGAATATTATTCTTTAAAATAAAGTCAAGATATGAAATTAGTTTAAAATTAGATAAGTTCTCACACCTTTATTATCAATATACTTGATATTAATCTGTTTTTTTAGTAAAAAGCATGAGAGTTTTTAAATTGTTGGAAGTTTTTTATCTTCTTTACTACAGCTATAAATCCATGAAAGATTCCATGTTTTGAATTCTGATCGAAACTTTTGAAAACTTCATGAATGTGTAAAACGTACATCTTGAAAAACGTTGTTATGTGGATCAGTTCAGAACGACTTCATAAATCCTTAATACATTTCACGCGTTCGAGGAGTTTCGGGTCTTTTCTCTTTACTTTTAAACCTTACACAAAATGGCATTTTTCATAATTATCTTGAAATCTGTGACAGCAGTTTAACTACGTACATCATCACTATAAAATTGTCTAGTTTTTATTTTATAAAAAGATATAACAAATTTTAACGAATCATTGGCAAGCACCCATGGACATAAACCTAGAATACGTCAATTTTAAATATCTCACAGGTGGTAGCCGACAGCCTTCCCTTCTTCGATAAACCTATAAAAGCTCTCCTGGGTTAATGTGATTCCATCTAGTCACTACCTGAATATGAAACTGTAGCACAATGTTTTCGATTTTTCATGAATATTACAAATTCTTCTTAAACATTCTATACCGTGAAAGTCTTATCCGAACTGGATGCAATGTTTCCTAAAGAAATTAGATTTTTTGTTGACTATGCCAATCCAATTTTAAGCCCTAGTACCAAGAATAGCACTCAGGATTTCATAAAATATTTAGATGAAGTAAGGTTCGTACTTTGAGCTTTATTCAAGCATAGAAAACATAGCTTTTCAAACTATGTCAAGTCGTATACACGCACACGTGACAGTAAGGTAAACTGTTTAATGGCAGAATGTAATGATCACGTTCACCATGCACAAGAACGTCTGTTTGTTGTGTTACCTCTCGCAAACTTATATATATTTGTTCTTTTACTGTCGTGTTTCCCTTACTTTAAATATAGACAGTATCCGGAAAACTGAAACTCATTATGTTACGCAAGCAACACAAACTACAGGCACGATATATCAGATGTAATACATCTAATGCATAGCTGGAAAATTCTAATCATATCGTAAAATGTTACACCAGTCTGACTAACACAAGCACTAAATTTCAGATATAATATACCTTATGCAGAACTAGGAAATTCTAAACGTATTACAAAAAGATTTGTCACTCTGACTATAGAGTATGTTAAAAAACTATACTTCTTAAGCTTTTTTGTGTTATTTTATGTTGTGATTAAACATTTCGTTGTGATCGAAATATTTAGAAAATATCTGGAAATCTTGAATGTTGTTGTTCAACATCAGCGCTGTGTTGTATTTGTAGTTATGACGTATTATGACATGGCGACAGTTGGGTATTTTCAATCTGAACAGCGCCTTATGCGACAAATGAAACAGAGACCTTAAAGTTCAGGTAATCATCCCTGTTTTCGAACTGCTGACCAGAGCGAAGACAAGCACCGTAGCCCATATAAATACTCTTAACCGAATAACAGAATTGATTGCCGCAGTTACAATGTCCCCACAGCTGAAAATACAGGGTATGTTCAGCCGCATATCGTGGCTCAAGCCTCGAGCCTTCTTTTTACCATCTCGACACGCTAGCCACTAGACCACCCTGGCTTAAATTAACTTATTAAAAATAAATTGAATTCATTTGTCAAAAATGTTATCGAATATGTATGAAAAATAAACCATAAACATATAATTTCTTTTATCTCAATATTGTCTGCTGAAAGTGCAGCATATCGCAATTCGAACCTTGGCTCTTTTGGTCCTATTTAACTTGCAGGGAAAAACCTAGTTCATGTTTCAGAATGAGTTTTAATACTTGAAATATAAAAGTAATGTATTTGGCATCGCGGATACAAAACAAAGTGAAAGAAGTAGTTTCCGTAATGGTATATTTTTCAAATATGATTATACAAAAAATATAAAGAAAGGCACGTTTATCGTAGTCTCTCGTGCTCCATCGCCATTCTCGTGATGGTATGTTATGAATAATTAGTTATCAACTCTTTTCAAAGGTTCACAGGTTTCCAGCATTACTTTATACCAGTTTCCACGTGACTTTGTTGTAAGTATGTTACCATGTATCAGTCAAAGCTTTCCCTCTTGTTTATGAACTTCAGGTACCGTGAAAATATTGATAGCTATGTCTAACTCTAAATACAACGTTCCTCGCAATATTATTATATAAAGAGCTATAGAGAACAATTTTTTTATTGATAAATTGCTTTCCTGATGATTTTTTTACGATTCATAAAATACTTGTAAAAATGGAATATCTATATATATTGAGTTCATTCCAAGTACGAAGACTAATCTCATCATTCACCATATTCAATTGTGTTCTGATTATACGGTTGTTTTTGTTAACAAGCACTTGCTCAGCTCAGCATCAGACTCATAGAATTGATAACAATAAACGGAAACAATGTTATGTTCAATTCATGTACAGGTTACAGTGTATATACGCCAGTGAAATAAATCAAGTGAAGTAACTGTGTACAGGTTACAGTGTATATACGCCAGTGAAATAAATCAAGTGAAGTAACTGTGTACAGGTTACAGTGTATATACCCCAGTGAAATAAATCAAGTGAAGTAACTGTGTACAGGTTACAGTGTATATACGCCAGTGAAATAAATCAAGTGAAGTAACTGTATACAGGTTACAGTGTATATACGCCAGTGAAATAAATCAAGTGAAGTAACTGTGTACAGGTTACAGTGTATATACGCCAGTGAAATAAATCAAGTGAAGTAACTGTGTACAGGTTACAGTGTATATATATATACGCCAGTGAAAT